CTTTCTCAAGAAACAAGAAAGGTCTCAAATACACAACCTAACCCTACACCTAAGGAGCTGGAGAAAGAACAGCAAATCAAGCCTAAACCCAGCAGGAGAACAGAAATAATGAAGATCAGAGCAGAAATCAATGAAATAGAAACCAAAAGAACAGTAGAACAAATCAACAAAACCAGGAGCTGGTTCTTTGAAAGAATTAACAAGATTAATAAACCCCTGGCCAGATTGATCAAAAAGAAAAATGACCCAAATCAACAAAATCATGAATGAAAGGGAAAAATCACAACCAACACCAAAGAAATACAAACAATTATAAGAACATATTATGAGCAACTCTATGCCAGCAAATTAGATAATCTGGAAGAAAGGGATGCATTCCTAGAGATGTATCAACTACCAAAACTGAACCAGGAAGAAATAGAAAACCTGAACAGACCTATAACCAATAAGGAAATTGAAGCAGTCATCAAAAATCTCCCAAAAAACAAAAGCCCAGGGCCACATGGCTTCCCAGGAGAATTCTACCAAATATTTAAAGAAGAATTAATACCTATCCTTCTAAAACTGTTCCAAAAAATAGAAATGGAAGGAAAACTTCCAAACTCGTTTTATGAGACCACCATTACCTTGATCCCCAAACCAGACAAAGACCCCATCAAAAAGGAGATATACAGACCAATATCCTTGACAAACATGGATGCAAAAATTCTGACCAAAATACTAGCCGATAGGATCCAACAGTACATTAAAAGGATTCTTCACCACGACCAAGTGGGATTTATCCCTGGGCTGCAAGGTTGGTTCAACATCCGCAAATCAATGTGATACAATACATTAACAAAAGAACAAGAACCATATGATCCTCTCAATCGATGCAGAAAAAGCATTTGACAAAGTACAGCATCCTTTCTGGATCAAAACTCTTACAGAGTATAGGGATAGAGGGTACCTACCTCAATATCATAAAAGCCATCTATGAAAAACCCACAGCGAATATCATTCTCAATGGGAAAAAACTGAGAGCTTTCCCCCTAAGGTCAGGAACGCGGCATGGATGTCCACTATCACCACTGCTATTCAACATAGTATTAGAAGTCCCAGCCACAGCAATCAGACAACAAAAAGAAATAAAAGGCATCCAAATCAGCAAAGAAGAAGTCAAACTCTCACTCTTTGCAGATGATATGATACTTTATGTGGAAAACCCAAAAAACTCCACCCCAAAACTGCTAGAACTCATACAGGAATTCAGTCAAGTGGCAGGATATAAAATCAATGCACAGAAATCAGTGGCATTCCTATATGCCGACAACAAGACAGAAAAAAGAGAAATTAAGGAGTCAATCCCATTTACAGTTGCACCCAAAACCATAAAATACCTAGGTATAAATCTAACCAAAAAGGTAAAGAATCTATACTCAGAAAACTATAAAGTACTCATGAAAGAAATTGAGGAAGACACAAAGAAATGGGAAAACATTCCATGCTCATGGATTGGAAGAACAAATATTGTGAAGACATCAATGCTACCTAGAGCTATCTACACACTCAATGCAATCCCCATCAAAATACCATCCACTTTTTTCAAAGAAATGGAACAAATAATCCTAAAATTTGTATGGAACCAGAAAAGACCCTGAATAGCCAGGGGAATATTGAAAAAGAAAAGCAAAGCTGGCAGCCTCACAATTCCAGACTTCAAGCTCTATCACAAAGCTGTCATCATCAAGACAGTATGGTACTGGCACAAAAACAGGCACATAGACCAATGGAACAGAATAGAGAGCCCAGAAATGGACCCTCAACTCTATAGTCAACTAATCTTCGACAAAGCAGGAAAGAATGTCCAATGGGAAAAGACAGTCTCTTCAACAAATGGTGTTGGGAAAATTGCACAGCCACATGCAGAAGAATGAACCTGGACCATTTCCATACACCACACACAAAAATAGACTCAAAATGGTTGAAAGACCTCAATGTGAGACAGGAGTCCATCAAAATCCTAAAGGAGAACACAGGCAGCAACCTCTTCGACCTCAGCTACAGCAACTTCTTCCTAGAAACATCACCAAAGGAAAGGGAAGCAAGGGCAAAAATGAACTATTGGGACCTCATCAAGATAAAAAGCTTTTGCACAGCAAAAGAAACAGTCCACAAAACCAAAAGACAACCGACAGAATGGGAGAAGATATTTGCAAATGACCTATCAGATAAAGGGCTAGTATCCAAAATCTATAAAGAACTTCTTAAACTCAACACTCAAAGAACAAATGATCCAATCAAGAAATGGGCAGAAGACATGAACAGATATTTTTCCAAAGAAGACATCCAGATGGCCAACAGACACGTGAAAAAGTGCTCAACATCACTCGGCATCAGAGAAATCCAAATCAAAACCTCAATGAGATATCACCTCACACCAGTCAGAATGGCTAATTAACAAGTCAGGAAATGACAGATGTTGGCGGGGATGTGGAGAAAGGGGAACCCTCCTACACTGTTGGTGGGAGTGCAAGCTGGTGTAGCCACTCTGGAAAACAGTATAGAGGTTCTTCAAAAAGTTGTAAATAGAGCTACCATGCGATCCAGCAATAGCACTACTGGGTATTTACCCCAAAGATACAAATGTAGGGATCTGAAGGGGTACGTGCACCCCGATGTTTATAGCAGCAATGTCCACAATAGCCAAACTGTGGAAAGAGCCAAGATGTCCATCAACAGATGAATGGATAAAGAAGATGTGGTAAATATACACAATGTCAAAAGGAATGAAATCTTGCCATTTGCAACAACATGGATGGAACTGGAGAGTGTTACGCTGAGCAAAATAAGTCAATCAGAGAAATACATGTATCATATGACCTCACTGATATGAGGAATTCTTAATCTCAGGAAACAAACTGAGGGTTGCTAGAGTGGTGGGGGTGGGAGGGCTGGGGTGGCTGGGTGATAGACACTGGGGAGGGTATGTGTTATGGTGAGCGCCTTGAATCGTGCAAGACTGTTGAATCACAAACCTGTATCTCTGAAAACAAATAATACATTATATGTTAAAAAAAAAAAAAAAGAAGAAGAAGAAGAAGAAGAAGATAGCAGGAAGGGAAAAATGAAGGGGGCGAAATCGGAGGGGGAGATGAACCATGAGAGACAATGGACTCTGAAAAACAAACTGAGTGTTCTAGATGGGAGCGGGGTCGGGGGATGGGTTAGCCTGGTGATGGGTATTAAGGAGGGCACATTCTGCACGGAGCACTGGGTGTTGTATGCAAACAATGAATCATGGAACACTACATCAAAAACTAATGATGTAATGTATGGTGATTAACATAACATAAAAAAAAAAGAACCAATTTTGGTATGCAAAACTTCCAGGGAGGTTTCAGAGGAGGGAACCATAGGGGCTAAAGGCAGACTGCCCCCCAAAATATGCCACTTTGCCACACTGATTATTTTGAATTAAAGTTACTAAGAGATGGCTACTGTATGAAGAACACTCTGATACTCCTTTATCTCTATACAGCAAGAAATAAGTCTCCCATGTGAGAGGTACCCTTCTTATACCAGGTAGAGACATCCTAATCATCAGAGCTAAGGAATTCAGAGTCAAGAAGGCTATATAATCAAACCTTGTTACTTTTACTAATCTATTACCTCAACCCAAATGCTATTTAGAATTCTTTACTAATTAAGCTCCAGAACATAAGTTTTATTTGTCCTGACAATTACTAACAGATTTTATGTTTCTTTGTATAAAACATAAAAAAGTTGCATGACTTGGTCATTTTTTGAGTCTCAATTTCATTATTGGTCCTCTGTATACACATAATAAAACTTCAGGTTTTTTCCTCCTTGTTAATCTGTCTCATGTCAACTTAAGTCTTAGACTAGTTAGAGGAATATTGAAGGGTAGAGAAAGACCAGTTAGAAGAATATTGAAGGGTAGAGAAAAAAATTTTCCTCCCCAAAACCAGTAATCAATGCTGTCAGGTTTCTCTTAATGAAAGGTACCCTGACCAGCCTGCTCAGCAGTGCCCTGGCAAGGCAGTTCAGATTCCTCCAGATTTGCCCATAGGAAGAATATGCATGTTTGTGTAGATTAGGGCTTAGATTTAAGCATATGTCATAGATCCCCAAGAGCCTGCTCTTGACACCTGGACCCTCCTGACATTTGGCCTCTTCCAGGTCCCTAGCTACCATGACCTACACAGGCCATGCATGCATAGTATGTACCTGTCAGCCAGCCTTGGGAAGCCAGAGCCCCCAAGGCCTGGGGAACATCAGCTGGCCCCAACCATCTGTATCACCTCTTGGGCAGTGAAAGTCAACCTCTGACAATATTTCTGAGGCATCAGCTTTAAACTAGTGACATCAGTCTACATTTGGCTGGCTTTCTGATGAAATCTGGAGTTCAGAAATGAAAGCTCCAAGATGTCTCTTACTAGAGGCTACAGCAGTCAATCTGCCTGCCATCACCCTGGCAAGGCAGTCCAGTTTTCTCCAGTGCTTCCTCAGTGTGAATATGCACATATGTGTAGATTAGGGCTTGGAAGCAAACAGATGACTTGTACTGCTCCCATCACCAGGCTTCTACTGGAATGTTCCCTATAATAAGTGCCTGGCTACCCTGACCTGCATGGCCCACACATAAACTATCTGCACCCCAACATCAAGGTTTTACAATAAAACATTTAAAACACAGTTGTGAACAACAGAAGGATAGTAATTAATATGACTCATTAACTAACCTTACCAAAATTACCTAAGAGGTGGTTTATGGGTAGAATTGATTATATATTCATTTCTGAGGATCTCTGGAGACCTACTGAAGACTTAGTCCAGACAAAACTTAAAATTAAGGAATCTCCAGATGTTAGCCTGATCACCCAACCCAGTGAGTTATATTCTATATAGCTATATACCCTTATTAGGAGCATGAAGTAACATGAATGCTGACAGGCAGAAAGGAAAAGTGCCTGCACAAAAAGTCATCTTCAGAGTAGGAAGGAACCCAGACTCCCTTGTTTCTAAGGGTACCAATCCACACCCCAGGACAAGGATTATTTTAACACTTTGACCCTGGTAACTATAACTAGAAACTAGGCCCATAAAAAAACAGACAAAACTACAACAAATGAGAGTATATAACCAATCAGATTCACTGAAGAGCAAGCTTATACCAGACAAGAAATGATAAAAATTAGGCAGCAGGAAAAATAGGGGCCGCGCATGCAAAGCAAGTGCCGGTAGCTTCCCTGCCCCTCCCGCAACGCTTGACCCCGGGATCCCCCCGGCTTGCCTGCCCGCCATGGCCAACAAGGAAGCCTTTGATGACGCAGAAGAACGTGTAATCAACGAAGAGTACAAAATATGGAAAAAGAACACCCCTTTTCTTTATGATTTGGTGATGACCCATGCTCTGGAGAGGCCTAGCCTAACTGCACAGTGGCTTCTAGATGTAACCAGACCAGAAGAGAAAGACTTCAGCATTCACCAACTTGTCCTGGGAACACACACGTTAGATGAACAAAACCATCTTGTGATAGCCAGTGTGCAGCTCCCTAACGATGATGCTCAGTTTGATGTTTCACACTAGGACAGTGAGAAAGGAGAATTTGGAGGTTTTGGCTCAGTTAGTGGAAAAACTGAAATAGAAATCAGGATCAACCATGAAGAAGTAAACCGGGCTCATTATATGCCCAGAACGCTTGCATCATTGCAACAAAGACTCCATCCAGTGATGTTCTTGTTTTTGACTATACAAAGCATCCTTCCAAACCAGATCCTTCTGGAGAAAGCAACCCAGACTTGCATCTGCATGGACATCAGAAGGAAGGCTATGGACTTTCTTGGAACCCAAATCTCAGTGGGCACTTACTTGGTGCTTCAGATGACCATACCATCTGCCTCTGGGACATCAGTGCTGTTCCAAAGGAAGGAAAAGTGGTGGATGCGAAGACCATCTTTACAGGACATACAGCGGTAGTAGAAGATGTTTCCTGGCATCTGCTCCATGAGTCTCTGTTTGGGTCAGTTGCTGATGATCAGAAACATGATCTGGGATACTCGTTCAAACAATACTTCCAAACAAAGCCACTCATTTGATGCTCACACTGCTGAAGTGAACTGCATATCTTTCAATCCTTATAGTGAGTTCATTCTGGCCACAGGATCAGCCGACAAGACTGTTGCCTTGTGGGATCTGAGAAATCTGAAACTTAAGTTGCATTCCTTTGAATCACATAAGGATGAAATATTCCAGGTTCAGTAGTTGCCTCACAATGAGACTATTTTGGCTTCCAGTGGTACTGATTGCAGACAATGTCTGGGATTTAAGTAAAATTGGAGAGGAACAATCCCTAGAAGATGCAGAAGATGGGCCACCAGAACTGTTGTTTATTCATGGTGGTCACACTGCCAAGATATCTGATTTCTCCTGGAATCCCAATGAACCTTGGGTGATTTGTTCTGTATCAGAAGACAATATCATGCAAGTGTGGCAAATGGAAGAGAACATTTATAATGATGAAGATCCTGAAGGAAGCGTGGATCCAGAAGGACAAGGGTCCTAGATATGTCTGCACTTCTTGTGATTTTAGACTCCCCCTTTTTTTTCCTCTCAACCCTGAGATTGATTTAACACTGGTTTTGAGACACAGACTTTGTTTGGCTATCCCTCTATGATAGGTACCATCCCATCAACAATGTTACTAGCCCAAACAGAGGGTGTTTTCTAAATATTAACTGGGGGACTTGATTCAGTAAAGCCACAGACTTATATTTAAATTTTCTTTAGGAATTTTCTAGTAACAAAGGTCTAAAGTAGGCACAGAAAGGGGAATGTTATGTGTGGTTATTTTTCTTCTTAGGCTATATCCCCAAGTTTTTCAGACTCCTTTAAGTAAAGACTAAAGTAAGGAAGGAGTAGAGCCAAGTGAGGTAGGTGTCTGAGCCATGAAGTATAAATACCACAAGATGTCGTTTTTATTCAGGAAATGGGGGAAATTCAATTCATATAAATTCCTATTCTAAAATTTTCACACCTGACTTTCCAGGATGCACATTTTCCTATGTAGACCAGTCTCCTCTCAGTTTCATCAGTTAAGTCAAAACTATGTGTTCCTCTTTCCCCCATATATTTTTGCTTGTTAGTGTATTTCTTGAGCTGTTTTCATATTTCTTTCCTTTCTGTGAAATGTTTTTTTAAAAAACTTGGGACCACCAAGTTGTAAAGATGTATGTTTTTACCTGACAGTTATACCACAGGTAGACTGTCCAGTTGAGTTGAGAAGAGTGAATTGATAGCTTGTATTTGTTTTTAAAGTTAAATTAATCCTGGATAAGAGTTGCTTTTTTTTTTTTTTTAAGGAGTTAGTCTTTGACCACTAGTTTGGTACCATCTCTATTTTGGGTGACCTGTTTCACCAGCAGGCCTGTTACTCTCCATGACTAACTGTGTAAATGCTTATAATGGAATAAATTGCTTTTCTACGTAAAAAAAAAAAGAAAAGAAAAGAAAAGAAAAAGAAATGATAAAAATTAGAATAGATTCCAACAAATTTAAATGGACACAGAAACCCAGTGGCCATTAGATTTATGGCCCAAAGAAAATCAAAACATGGTCTTCCCAGGGGTGGAGATTGCAGAACTTGGACCCATAACCATTGATGCAAAATTGAATCAATACCTTATAGCATTTGGAGAAAATAATATTTTACAAAGATCTTTGTTTGAGTAGCAGCAACCTGGAGATTAAGATGGCCTATACCGGGGCACCTGGGTGGCTCAGTCATTAAGCGTCTGCCTTCGGCTCAGGTGGTGATCCCAGAGTCCTGGGATTGAGCCCCTCATCGGGCTCCCTGCTCGGCGGGAAGCCTGCTTCTCCCTCTCCTGCTCCCCCTGCTTGTGTTCCCTCTCTCGCTGTGTCTCCCTCTGTCAAATAAATAAATAAAATCTTTTAAAAAAATAAAAAAATAAAATAAAAAAAAGATGGCCTATACCTAATGTATTATTACTTAAAACATCTTCATGGAAGATAGAACCCAAGATGGAGGTGGAGAAGGAGGACCCTAGGCTCATCTCATGCCATGAACACATCTAGATAACTATCAATCATCCTAAATACCCCAGAAATCAATCTGAAGACTGATAGAACAAACTTCACAACTAAAGGGGGAGAAGAGGCCACATCAAAGTAGGTAGGAAGTATAGAGACATGGTTTAAGGGAGAACCACATTTCAGGTGCTGCAGAGAGGAGGGAGCCATGGTCATAGAGAAGGGTGAGGGAGAAAGGAATACACAGGGGAATGCACAAGGAGAAGGCTTCCCCAAAGCCATTGGCTTGGAAAATGAGAGGGGCTGAGTTTTGTGAGTTCTTGCACCCAGCAGGGCTTAAAGCCTGGAGTTTCAAAGATCAGCTGGCTTGGCTGGAATAGAGCCTAGAGGGCACTGCCCTGCTCCTTGGGAGAAGGCAGGCAAACAACCTGGGGGACAGTGTGGAAACAGCAATCTGAAGAGCGCCTGGGGCACACAGTGGGGAGATTATTTGCTCATCTCAGACAGCATCCCTACAAGGCAACATTCACAGAGACACCTCTCTGGGAACAGGGGAGCTGGTGAGTGCCATTTTCCTTCCCTGCCCCTCAACATAAACACAGAGCCAATAGCAGGAGGCAGCACAGAGCTGACACTGGCTGCTTAACTTGCTTACATCAAGCCTCCCCTCCACCCTGTCCCCACCGTATGCTAGCATGACCGCCCTTCTCAGTCAAGCATGCCTCAGTCCCAATGCAGTGGACCCCACAAATCCAGGAGACCAGCACAAATCCCTGTCTATACCATGTCTCCTGACCAGAGAGTTCTGCAGGGCCTCAGTTCTGGTGGGGTTGGTGTCAGGTATCATTTCACAAGCAGACCAGAGCATACCTAGTTAAAACTTGCCACACTCAGGCCAGGAATTAAACACTTCCCACAGTAGGCAAGGAGAGCCTCTGCAGATAACTAGCCTGAAGGGCAAAGCAGCTAAAACACAACAGCAGAGTGCACACAGCACACCCCAGAGACACTCTCTAAAGTGCTAGGCCCTGGACACTACATGACCTCATCTTCATAAAGCCATTACTTTTAAGAGGAGGAGACATAACTGGTTTTTCTAACATAGAGAAGAAGGCAGAGACAGACAAAATGTGAAGTAAGAGGAATTTATCCCAAAGAACCAGATAAGGCCACAACCAGAGATCCAAGCAAAACATATATAAGTAACATGACTGATGGAGAATTTAAAGCAATGATCTTAAGAATATTCACTGGGCTTGAGAAAAGAAGATATCAGCGAGACCCTTACAACAGAGATAAAAGTTAAAAAAGAATCAATCAGAGATGAAGAGTACAATAAATGAGATTGGAAACAGGCTTAATTTAATGAATAGTAGGCTAGCAAAAGCACAGGAATGAATTAGTGACCTAGAAGATAAAATAATGAAGCTGAACAAAAGAAAGAATAGACTTAGGGAACTCAGTGACTCCACCAAACATAATAACATTTGTATTATAGGAGTCCCAGAAGAAGAGAGAGAAAAGGGGTCAGGAAATTTATTTCAAGAAATAATAGCAGGAAACTTCCCTAATCTGGGGTAGGAAACAGATATCCAGATCCAGGAGGCACAGAGAACTCACATCAAAACCAAAAAAGCAGGCCAACATCAAGACATATTATAATTAAATTTGTAAAATATAGTGATAAAGAAAAAAATCTTAAAAGCAGCAAGACAAAAGAAATCCTTAATTTAGCCTTAACCCATTAAGGATAGCTGGAGATTTCTCAACAGAAACTAGGCAAGCCAGAAGAGGGTGGCATGATATATTCAAAGTGCTGAATGGGAAAAATCTGCAGGCAAGAATACTCTATCCTGCAAGGCTATTATTCAGAATAGAAGGAGAAATAAAGAGTTTCCCAGACAAACAAAAACTTAAAAGATTCATGACCACTAAACCAGCCCGGCAAGAAATATTAAGAAGAGACAAAAAATGATAAAGACAAGAAAGAAACAGGGAAAAATCTCCAGAAACAACGACAAAACAAGTAATAAAATGGCAATGAGTACATTCCATCAATAATTACTTTGAATGTAAATGGACTAATTGTTCCAATCAAAAGACATGGGGTGTCAGAATGGGCAAAAAAAAAAAAAACAAGACCCATCTATATATTGTCTACAAGAAACTCATTTTAGACCTACATATACCTGCAGATTGAAAGTGAGGGAGTGAAGAAACATTTATCATGCAAATGAATGTCAAAAGAAAGTTTGAGTAGCAATACTTATATCAGACAAATTAGGCTTTTTTGTTCTTGTATTTTTTTTATCCTGCTTGGATCAGGATACTACTGGCCTCATGGAATGATTTTGAATGTGCTCCCTCTATTCCATTATGTGTAAGATTTTGATAAAGATTATCATTATTTTTTAGATGTTTGGTAGAAATCATCAATGAAACCATGTGTGGTCTTAGGCTTTTCTGTGCTGGGAGATTTTTGATTCCTAATTCAACTTTCTTTTTATTGGTCTAAGAAGATTTCCTATTTCTTGGATTCAAGATTCATGATTCAATCTTGGTAACTTGTGCATTTTTATGAATTACCTGGGTTTTTTTCTGTTATCTGATTTGTCAGTATATAATTATTTATAGTAATCTGTTACCACACTATGTATTTTTGTGGCTATCTGTCACATTGTTTTCTCCTCCATTTTTCATTTTGTTTTTTGGGTCTTTTTTTTCCCTTAGTTAATGCAGTTTAAGCATTGCCAATTTTAATTTTGTTTTTTAAACTGGTGATTACTTTCAATGTTATGCTATTGTTTATTCTGGTCTCTATTTCTTATTTTTCTTTGTTATTTTCTTTCTCTACTAGGTTTCAGCTAAGTTTCACTTTTTCTAATTCCTTGTGGTGTAATGCTAAATTATTTGAATTTTTTTTCTGAATACAAGTATTTATAGCATAAATGTCACTCTAACATCTGCTTTTGCTGCTTCCTATAGGTTTTGGAATATTGTGTTTTATTTTTCTTTTGTTTTGAGACAAATTTTGAGTTGATTTGCTGTTTGATTTCTTATTCGGCCCATTGCTGTGCAGTAGTGTGTTAATATTTACATATTAAATATTTAACATTTACAGTGTAGGTTTTCCAGCTTTGTTTTATTGTTGATCTTTAGTTTTGTATCATTGTGGTTGGAAAATATACTTGGCATGATTTCAGTCTTTCTAAATTTGTAATATGTGTCTTTTTTTATATGACTTAGCCAGGGGATTCTTCTGTGTGTACTTGAAGAAAAGGTGTATTCTATTTTTTTTTTGGATGGAATGTTTTATTCATATCTTTTAGAACCATATGTATTCTGAAGTATGCTTCAATTAAAAAAAATGTTCTTGTTGAAGAAAAAAACTTCAACTGAGGGTACTCATTTAAAAAAAAAGTATATCAAAGGGGAGGTGGAGGCGGTGGGTGAAATAGGTGAAGAGAATTAAGAGTACACTTAACATGAAGCACTGAGTAATGTATAGAATTGTTGAATCACTATCTTGTACACCTGAAACTATTATATACTCTATGTTAACTTTACTGGAATTAAAATAAAAAAGTATTCATGGAAGGGCACCTGGGTGGCTCAGTTGGTTAAGCATCTGCCTTCAGCTCAGGTCATGATCTTAGGGTCCTGAAATTGAGCCCTGCATCGAACTCTCTGCTCAGTGGGGAGTCTGCTTCTCCCTCTCCCTCTGCTCTCAAATAAATAAATATTTTTTTTTTAAAGTCTTCATGGAAAACAACAGGGGAAGTTGCTAATATAATAATGACATTAGGACTATTAAATGCGATTTGTGTTAGAGGACAGATACCCTCATTAATATATATGAAAGCAACAGAAAAATTTAAAAGGTCTAAAAGCTGTGCCCCCACACATGAGAACAGCATTATTTACAGCATTTGCAGGTGCCAGAAACACAAGAGAACTGATTGACTTGATAAGAACAGCTGAGGAATTAAATCAAGATGGTTATGGCTTTAACACTCATGTATATAGACAAAAAGATTTGCACCTAACTAAATAAACCAAATCAAAATAGAACACATTGACCTAAATCTACAAGGCCCTTTTGGCAACCTAAATAAACCATTTAGACCACCACCCTTTAAAACAACTATAAAAATAGAAACACAACAGAAACTTCAAAAACTGTATACAGGGGCGCCTGGTTGGCTCAGTCATTAGGTGTCTGCCTTCAGCTCAGGTCATGATCCCAGGGTCCTGGGATTGAGCCCCACATAGGGCTCCCTGCTCAGCGGGAAGCCTGCTTCTCCCTCTCCCACTCCCCCTGCTTGTGTTCCCTCTCTCGCTGTCTCTCTCTCTCTCTCTGTCAAATGAATAAATAAAATCTTTAAAACAAAAACAAAAAATATATATATACAGCAGCAAAGAAATGGAAACAAAAAACCTTTTAGAGTAAATAGACTTCAGAAAATAAACCCACATATAGACTCACTAACCCATTTACTGTAAATACTAAACCCTTTATAAAACCTAATTCCATTAATAAAGAAGCCAATGAAGAACAAATCCCATGAGGCCCCCAGAGAGACTCAGCAGTCTCTGTGTCTTGGCCCAAGCTGGAGACAATCACCTGTGTATTATATTGGCCATAACAACAAAAAATCCTTTTGTAAGTAAAAGTACTATATATACCATGTTGTTAGGTGCTGGAGCACAAGTAACAATGACACAAGGATATCCTACAAATTTAGAAAACTTTAACAATTAAAAGGGACTAATTGAAGGATTAGGAGGAAAATTCACCCCCATGAGCACATAGATTACTAAGAATTGATGATAGACCACCCATAAGGCTTAATACCTTATAGATCCCAATTAAGAAAACATTCTTGGAGTAGATGTAATAGGACATACCAAAAAAAATCAAGGAAAACATCAAGTCCTAAACTATTGTACCTACTATTTCACCATATACTAACCCAATCTGGCATGTTAAAAAGCCAGACAGGTCACAGAGATTTACAGTACATTATAGGAATTTAAACAAACACTCTCCCCAGATTGAGGGAGCACTCCTGAATACAGGCGCTAACATAAACAATATCACCACTGGATCTGGAACTTATTACCTGGTGATAGATTTATCTGACATATTCTTTGCTATTCCAAATGATGTGGAGAGCCAACTCATGACTACATTCACATAGGAAGGGA